GGGTTAGACACATATAGTAGGCTAATATGACATTATGTATGTAAATTGTACTAACTTTAGCTATCTATCTATGAGTTGGTGCCATAAACTTGTGGCTTTCATCTGAACCTTCCCATCGTGAAAACAAACATAAATTTCTGGTGCTCGCCCCATCCCATTAGTGAACTTTCATCAGACTCAGCTGTATCTCTGAGGCAGAGAAAACTCTACACATGCTCGAAGTCTATTTCAAGTAAAAGAATGCATATAATTTTTTTGTCATTTAATCATAGTGAAGTGATATGAAACATTTCGAATTTCGACTGGTTAAATTGTTTATTATTGTAACTAGGTGTATGCAAGTATTTTTCGAACTAAGACTTGTGTTCATCAATGTGTTGGTGGACGAGTTTCAAGTTTTACTTGGTTGGAGCAACTTCGTTTATTGCTTACAAATTTCTCTTCAAAAGGAAGTTAAAAAATAAAAATAAAAAATTTCTGATTCCTTGTAATTAGCTAATGCACATGTGGCCATAAAGCTTGCATTTTAATGTTGAACTTGATCTGTCCCTTAGATAAATGAGTTTGTTAGTTCTAATCAACACATTATAAGTGGTGCTATTTTTTGGTTATATCCGTGTTAACTAATTCAAATTTGTGTTGCGCCTAAAGCTTACTAACAAGGTAAATAAATTAGTTCCAAATTCTTAGAACTCGAATCTTAAATTTTTAATCTAGGACAAAACAATCTTAATCATCTAATCACCATCACATAAACATTCCTTTGGAATTACATAAGATGAGTGTTTTAATCATTTCTTCCCTAGAGCAAAATATGTCCAAATAAATTGTTGTTGTTTTTACTTTAATTTGTATTAAAATTTGAGTACTCTAATTTGTCAAACAAAAAGAGTAAGGTCACACAATTTGCTTTACTTGCGTGAGGCACACAAATAAAGCTTCTCAACAAATTGCAAAGGAATATAGCCGTTGGAACCCTAAAATCCTCGTGGCGGCGACTAGCCGTTTGGATACAAAAAAAAAAAAAAAAAACAGAACAACTCGGACAAAACCCAACACACCATTACATAAACTCTTGAGCGGTTCCCATGAAGCAATAATTTTAATCATCATCTTTGTTTGCAGGACACAACTCGGGTCCCTCCATCTTCTTCTTCTCTCTCTTCTTAAGCGAACCCGCAAGCGCACTTCCAACTTACTTGCTTTAATTTGTGCTGCCATATTATTATTATTATAACCCTGATTTTTGTTTTGCAGGCTTTAATAATCTTGTTTCTTTGTTTATTGAAATCTCTGTTTTTGTATCTCTTTTTTTTTTTGTGCTAACACCATGGATGCAGGATCATTGAGTTCTGTCTCAGCAAGTAAGACCAAATCTCGTTGCCCTCTCCAGGAACAATATCTACAAAAGAGGAATTCTCGGGAAAATGTATGTTTTTTCCCTTCTACTTGCTTCCGATTATTGTCTCTAGAAATTACTAATTGTTTCAGTTTAGTGGCACTATTTGTGTTACACCAATGATAATTTGGATTTTGAAATTAAGAAAATAGGCTAAAGGGAGATGGGTTTTAATTTACTTTGTGTCATCTGGGGTTGGGTTTAATTTTTGTAGAACAAATTTGAGGCTTTTGGAAAAAAAAAAAAAAAAAAAAAACAGAACAACTCGGACAAAACCCAACACACCATTACATAAACTCTTGAGCGGTTCCCATGAAGCAATAATTTTAATCATCATCTTTGTTTGCAGGACACAACTCGGGTCCCTCCATCTTCTTCTTCTCTCTCTTCTTAAGCGAACCCGCAAGCGCACTTCCAACTTACTTGCTTTAATTTGTGCTGCCATATTATTATTATTATAACCCTGATTTTTGTTTTGCAGGCTTTAATAATCTTGTTTCTTTGTTTATTGAAATCTCTGTTTTTGTATCTCTTTTTTTTTTTGTGCTAACACCATGGATGCAGGATCATTGAGTTCTGTCTCAGCAAGTAAGACCAAATCTCGTTGCCCTCTCCAGGAACAATATCTACAAAAGAGGAATTCTCGGGAAAATGTATGTTTTTTCCCTTCTACTTGCTTCCGATTATTGTCTCTAGAAATTACTAATTGTTTCAGTTTAGTGGCACTATTTGTGTTACACCAATGATAATTTGGATTTTGAAATTAAGAAAATAGGCTAAAGGGAGATGGGTTTTAATTTACTTTGTGTCATCTGGGGTTGGGTTTAATTTTTGTAGAACAAATTTGAGGCTTTATGTTTAGACTTGTTTTATGTGAGTCTTTGATATGTGTTACTCTAGCCGAGTGTCTTTCGGAAACTACCTCTCTACCTCTGGTAGGTAGGGTCAGGTTTGCATGCACTCTAACCTCCCCAAACCCCACTTCTCTAGGTATGTTGTTGTTTTATGTGAGTTCTAAAGAGGAGGGCCTTAACATAGATATTGATTGCTGATTTGGGTTATTAGAGTTGGTTAGGTTCATTGTTGTTCTACGTACCACCGGTTATTGTCTCTAAAAAGTACCACTTGTTTCCTTTTTTGGCACAATTTTTGTTACAAGATGGTAAATTGAATTTTGAACTTAAGAAAATGGTCAAAAGGGAGATGATTTTTCATCACTTTGTCATCTGGGGTTGGCTATATTTTGTAGAATAAATTGAGGTTACTTAGACTTGTTTTATGTGAGTTCTTAGAAGAGGAGGGCTTTGGCATAGACATTGATTGTTGATTTGTGTTACTACAGTTGGATAGGTTCATTCCTAATCGATCGGCAATGGATATGGACTATGCACATTACATGTTGACAGAGGGAAGGAAAGGTAAGGAAAATCCAGCTGTTGATTCTCCCTCCAGAGAGGCATACAGGAAGCAGCTTGCGGAAACATTCAACATGAACAGGACCCGAATATTGGCATTCAAGAACAAGCCACCCACTTCTGTTGAGGCTATTCCAAATGACTTCTCATCATCTGTTCACCAACAGGCAAAGACTGCTAAACCCCGTCGATACATTCCTCAGGTGAGTTTACTTGCACTGTCCATTGTTAGTATTACATATTGCTGTACTAGTAAATGTAACCGAATCCCGTCCTTATCAGTTTCATCGGTTTACTTTTGCAGACCTCTGAAAGGACATTAGATGCTCCAGATCTAGTGGATGACTACTATTTGAATTTGTTAGATTGGGGCAGCAGCAATGTTCTTTCTATTGCTCTAGGCAGCACTGTATATCTGTGGGATGCATCTGATGGTGCCACTTCAGAATTGGTCACTGTTGATGAAGAGCATGGTCCTGTTACAAGTGTTAAATGGGCTCCTGATGGTAGACATATTGCTCTTGGTCTGAACAATTCTGATGTTCAGCTCTGGGATACAACGGCAAATCGGCTGGTTTGTTTCTTGAACTTTTCTGTTCATGTTGTTTATTTTGAGTGATTCTTATGCTAATTTATGGTTTTATACATTGGTGCAGCTGAGAACTATGAGAGGTGGTCACAGATCCCGAGTTGGCGCTCTAGATTGGAACAATCACGTATTGACAACTGGGGGCATGGATGGTCAGATCATAAACAATGATGTGAGGGTGCGATCGCCAATTGTGGATACATACCAAGGACATCACCAAGAAGTTTGTGGTTTAAAATGGTCAGCCTCTGGCCAACAACTAGCTAGTGGTGGAAATGATAATCTCCTCCATATATGGGACAGATCAATGGCTTCTTCCAACACATCAACAGAGTGGCTTCACAGGCTTGAAGATCATACAGCTGCTGTTAAGGCCCTTGCTTGGTGTCCTTTCCAGAGTAACTTACTAGCCTCTGGTGGTGGTGGAGGTGATAGGTCCATTAAGTTCTGGAACACCCATACTGGTGCTTGCTTGAACTCTATTGATACGGGCTCTCAGGTTTGTGCCCTGCTATGGAACAAGAACGAACGTGAGCTCCTAAGTTCACATGGTTTCACAAAGAATCAGCTCACTCTTTGGAAATACCCTTCCATGGTAAAGACAGCCGAGCTTACTGGTCACACATCCAGAGTTCTTTTTATGGCACAGGTAAATGATTCTTAAGTAATTTTGTTGCATTTTTTGCAGTACACAAGAAAGAAAGGAACTAATTTTCTGGTTTAATTTGTTGCAGAGTCCAGATGGTTGCACGGTGGCATCTGCAGCTGGGGATGAAACTCTTAGATTTTGGAATGTATTTGGTACTCCTGAAGTTGCAAAGCCTGCGCCAAAGGCAAACCCTGAGCCATTTGCTCACCTTAACCGTATTCGGTGAATTGTGAGGGACAATAGTTGAATTTCTGTAAAGTCTATTCAGCTTAAAATGCTCATGAACCAGACAACTGCTGTATTTATTGTGTAAAAAGAGATACTTCGGTTCATTTTCCTGTATTCGTTCGTTGGTGGAGTTCGTGTAAATGGAGGAGCTATTTGTTTGCTTAAGTTGCTGCGATAATTTTTCTTGGTCACCTATAGTGACAAAAAGCATGTGTAAAAGATAAAAAGCAAAGGTTCTTCAACATAAGAATATTGTATCATTGTGAAACCTTTGGAGGGTTCTACTCCCTGAATAAGATAGATGCATATACATTTCTTACTCCCAAATTTGTCGTGTACAGATGCCCTTGTGTTTTCCTTTGTCAACTCTATTCACAGTTTCCAACTTTCGAAAATCTGCGGGTTCCATTTAGGGGTGGCCAAATCAAACCCAACCTTCCCAATAAACTCAGCCCAATTTGATCTGCCCAAATTCAGCTCAATCCACCCATTTGACACCTCTAGTTCCTTTACATTTCTCTGAAGTTCTTAAATCTGTCAAGTTCTTTCTGTTTTTACTTGCCCTTCAAACAATTCAATAGAGTTTTATTAATATTCATTTTTTATCAAATTTTCAGCAAATATTCTTTGGGAGAATTTGGATGGTACAACTTTCCTTCCCCAACACAGAGCAAACTTGATAGAAGTAAAAGGTTTATTTATATTATTACTATAATACAATAGACTCGTAAACATTTTAATAGCAGTGCAGTTATTCTGCAGTCCTTAACTACAGTTTCAACTCAAAATGTTACATATTCAAAGAACTTAAACATAGGCTGGCTTCTCAAGATCCTCGAGTGGACGGAAGAAGGCCTTCTGTTCCAACACAGAATCTACACTAGCACTGGCAGGCCTGATACTGATATGATGATGATCAGTGGCTGGTCCAAACACACCAGTATGAGGATGAGGAGTCCAGTACTTATCCGATTTTGCCTTGATCACTTCATCTGGCACCACAAAAGGCTGCACAGATTCCTCCAGATTCTTATCGTATACTGATGCGTGCACTTCCCTCCTGCACACAAAACACACATATAAATAAGGATAACAGAAACTACCTATACACGAGAGACAGATCAAGGATTTGAACTTTACCACAATTAAGTACTACTTATCTAGTGATTTTTTAATACATATACAAGATCCGAGCCAAAACTGTACCTGGTAGAGAGGATAGTCGAGTTAGTAGAACTTCGATTAATATGGTTCAAAAATCCCTTCCTCAAGCTAACGAGTCCACGGTTCTGTAAATTGATGGCCATTCAAATATGGATTACTAGTGTTTTTTTTTCTTTGAAAAAAAGGATTAGAGTTCTTAATTACTAGTATTAAGAAGCTCTTTTCAACCCAATAAAGCAAATGAGAAAGAAGAATTAGATGAAATGATCAATGTAATGATGATTTAGAGTCTTTGCCTCTATTTCTCTATTTATAGAGAAAAACTCAGACTTCAGAGTGGACTAACTTACCCATTATATTAATTATATTATTGTTGTATAAGTATTAAACAAAGATTACCAAGGATGTATTAGCAATAATATTTGATTACTCTGCATTAATTGAAACTTATCTTTGTGCCGTCTTATTTTTTGGTCACGTAAAGTCTGTGGACTAGAAAAAACAAAAAATTCTGTTTTTTCCTGCTCTACTAACATTAACTACTAGTTCAAAATCATTTTTCAATTCAATTAAATAAGTACTTGATAAGGGATTGACTGATTGAATTAATATTGGGAGCAATAAAAATGGATTGAAATAGTTGCATTTATTATGGTGTTTTTTACTACATTAATTCTAAAAGTCATTATGTATATATGAGTAATTGCATAATTTATTGCTAAATATATTTAAATGATGAGAACCATTGTAATTTTTTATTTATGGTAATGAGGCTCATACTTAAACCTCTGTCAGCTATGATGTTATATTAAACTAAACAAATTACTTAAATCGTGAGAATATTGTGGCATGACTTTTATATTTTAAACATGTCAAGTACTGGTGAAGGTGGATGGCTGGATAAAACTTGTGACTATATAAAATGGGGGGCTTATAATATTGCAAATAATAAATTGGGATGATCCTGATTTTGATTTCAAATTAAAGAAATAAATCGTGAATCTGACTCAATCTCAAAAATTAACTCATGAAAGAAGATTATCCAAACTTATATAAAAAATCCATGTACCCGTCCTACAAAGTGGGACTCCGACTTTTTTTTTTTTTTTTGCATAAAATTGATTTGAAGAAAATACTAAACAAAAGATCTACTCTTATTGATTTTTTAAAGTTAACAATTGTTTTTATCGACTATGTAAAAGTAAGGTCCCAATTAGAACTCTTGATAAAGCCACCAGATTAATTTCAAAGTTGACATGTTTAATTATTAATTTAGGTAGATTAGCATCAAAGTGCGACATGATCTGATATCAAAAGATTTTTGCATAGATCTCACCACTCCCACAAGCGAAAACTAAACTTAATAATAAAATTAAAAGGTATGATAATTGAAGTATAATGACAAAACTCAAAGGTAAGGTACGATAACTTTATACAATTATACTATAATTTTATAAAAAATTGTTATAATTAGGTGATTTTTTTTCCACGTGTCATAATCTTGGTGAATAAAATAACTTGATATCTATTACTAGTGAGAGATGACAAATACTCCGTGAAACTAATTTAGATATACATATATCTAATAATTCAAACACTACGGTTATAAAAAAAAACATGTTGCAACTTGCAAGGATCTCACTACTTCCACAAGCAAAAATGAAATTTATAAAATGAAACTATAAAAAATTTTCACGATAGATCGTGAATCACCATTAAATGATAAACTTATTTTTTAAAAACAGTATGTATTTTAAAAATAGTTGAATTCCAAGATATTTACGTTTCAGTCTAAATTGTTAGGCCAAAGAAATAAGTAGTGCAACTAAAATATATCTTAAAGTCTTATTTAGGAGCCTGGTAACCAAGTTTGAAAATATTCACTTATAGTATACAATGAAAAATATTACTCCCTCCGTCCCATTTTATGTGGCACTATTTCCTTTTTGGTCAGTCCCAAAAAAAATGTCACATTTCCTTATATGGTAAGTATTTAAAGGTACAACTCCTTTTTTACCCTTGTTGGTCTCACTTAATCTTAAAATAATACTCTAATACATTTATGAGGAGAGAGAAAAGTGAGTCTACTTTTTAAAGGACAATTTGGTAAACATTTTAAAGTCTTCATTTATTTCTTAAACTCCGTGCCCGATCAAATATTGCCACATAAAATAGGACGGAGGGAGTACTAATATAAAAATCCACTCAACTTATATATGGTATGCTAATTATTTATTGTAGCAGCCAAAAGGTAGTAATTGTTGATGGGCTGAAATAATCCCCATGTCGTACGTCTCGTACCCGTTTCTTTCATTCGACTTAGAGATGACAATGAGACAGAGAAACGTGAAATAAGGTAAAGTTAAAACTGAAAATAGATAAACGAAATAAGATAGAGATAAGTGTCAAAAACACACCTAAATTATCCCTTTTTTTTTAGTTTCATACCTAAACTATTGAGAGTACGAGTTTCATACCTAAACTATCACTTTTTAGTTTGAGAAACACACCTTAGTGGTGTGTGTAATGCACTCTCTCTTTTATTTGAAAAAACCTTGACACATGACATTCCACACGGATAAAATATTCCACCTTGACAAAAAATAAATAATAAACTATTAATATTAATTAAAAATTAAAGATTAAAATATTACTATCCATAAAAAAAAAATCTTAAAAAATAATAAAAATTCTACCCCATTCTATTTAACCCTCCGCTCCTATTTTATTTTATTTTTTTACATTTTTCTCATTTTGTGTTAGATATGTACGTACAAATATTTTAGAAAAAAAGTTTCTACTAGTGTACCGAATATAACATAAAAAATTAAAAAAATTCTTGCGGCGGCAAGTAAAAAATATTTTTGATATGTATATATCTAACACAAAATGAGAAAAAAAATTGGAAGCGGAAGGTTAGGTGGGGCGGGTAGAATTATTTTTAAAATAAAATAAAATAATATCTAAATTAGTATTTGAGTGGGGGGAGAGGGGGTGAGGAGATGAAGTAAAACAAATTAAATACTTTTATAAAAGAAATTTAAACAAAAAAAATTGGCCAGGGTGGAGGGGGGGGGGTGAGAGAAAGTGATAGAGTGGGGTAAGAAAAATATTTTAGATTTTATTTTATAAAAGAAAATATTGTTTTTTTGGATAATAATTTTTTAATTTTTAATTTTAACTAATACTAATCATTTATTTAATTTTTGTCAAGGTTGAATGTTTAGTCCATGTGGAATGTGAAGTGACAATTTTTTTAAATAAAAGAGAGTGTATTACACACACCAAGATGAGAGTGGTATAAAAGAGATAGGTGTGTTTCTCAAACTAAAAAACGATAGTTTAGGTATGAAACTCACACTCTCAATAGTTTAAGTATGAAACTCACAAAAAGGGTATAGTTTAGGTATGTTTTTGACACTTATCTCAATAAGATAGGTTAAAATTTTAACAAGTCCCATCTCATTTTATTTACATTTCAATTGGACTTATAATTTATTTTTGTGAGTAGTGAAAATATCAATTATTGAACAGATTATTTTTGAAGATGAAAATATTCGTATTGAAATAAAAATCAGAAGAAATTAAAGATAAAGGGCATATGCAAAGTTATTATTCTATTAAACGTGTGGTGGTCACTTATAATACCAACGTGAGGTTGAGTACTAATTATAATATCCATTGATCGATTATTGCAGTATTTATTCTGAGACTTTAAGTAGCAACCGATAATACATATAAGCTAGTGGGATAGGAGAATAAAATGACATAAAATTGTACTTTCCTCAGCAACATCAACACGTGTTACATTTATATGATCCCAAACCTTAAAACATTTGGATTGGAGATTAATAAAAATGAACTTTTATTTAGTAATAATAGTATATATAATATTATATCATATCATATACTAATAAAATCATAATTTTAAGTTATAGTAGAGTGAGTTGTATTACGTACATGCTCAGGATGACAATGAAACAGAACAAGACAGGATTTAACAGGGCGGGTTAGGGTGGGAAAGATTTAAACGAGACAAGTCAAATTAAAACACATTTTTTCAGAAAACAATACACGGGGCTAGCTTGGCAGGTGGTAGGGAAATAACTGACCAGAACAAACTTCACAACCTAATTAAATATGTGTGGAATTAATAATTAAATTGATAAGACTTTAATTAAATACCATAAAATACAGGTTCCTCCATCAGTTGGAGCCTATGGGCTCTGGCACATTAAACAGTACTACTTAAGCCTCTGAACATTAAAAAAAAATAAAGTGATTGAGTGATTGTTGGATCAAATATTACTAGAAAATATGAAATTAGCTATTAAATTTATGCGTCATTTAATCCGTCCTAAAATAGCTCCAAGCTAATTAGATTTTCTTATATAATTCGTCGCTAAATAACTCCTAGCATATTAGATTTTTTAAATAATTCATTGCTAAATGGGATTAGCATGAGATTTTTGTTGTTTAGCTATGAAATTTTATCTGTCGCCGATTCCGTGTTTTCTTATAGTGAAAAACATAGTTTATAGAAATGTTTAATGAGAAGTTGATTTGGTGACTTTGAAACGACGAAAGATTTCATACACTATCGATATAATTTAACAAATAATAATATATAGTACTATTACGTTAACATTATTAATTACTAACTTATTTCAAGTTATTAATATATAAGTTATAATGATTCATAGGTATTTGTTCACTCACATGTTGCATGCATCAATATATTTTACATCGTGAATATATAAAGCTAAGCTTAAATTCCTACCTTTTAAAAACTGTACGTTTTATAAGTACTCCTCATGTCTGTGAGAAAGGATAAATGGGAAGAGAATCTTGTTTATGGAATTTGAATCCTCTTCACATTTAAACCAAAAAATAATAATAAATCTACATAATAAGAACGTTTTTTTGGTAATTTCTTTTAAATCTATTCCTTTCACATGTCAAACAACATGCTTCATCCCTGTGATGTTGTATCATCTTTCGATGCAAACAATAATTTCTTTATAAAAAATATGGAATAAAATCTAGCCTAAAAAGTTATAGCATATATTTTAATTAAAAGAAATAATTTTGAGGAGCTAAAATGTCCTCTTAGGAAAAGAAAATTAGCTAGTCAACAACTTCCAGTCCTTGTTCTTGTTGCATGCATGGCAAATGCCAATTAATTAGTGACGTATATTATGAGCTACTTGCCCACTTAATTACTTAAGAAAAAATCGACAAAATGAATTGTTTTGCTTAATCACCTTTAATTAATAGAGTAATTAATTTGGATTTGATTAGGAAGTTAATTTGTACGGTCCCTTTGCTAAGAGCTACAAATTGTTATGTGATCTACTGTGGTTTTAAATAACTATAGTGAGGACATAATTTTGATGGTCGAAATTAAGTAGTAATAATAGCGAGAGTACTAAAAGTAGTGGGGAAAGTCAAAAGTTTCACTAGGATATTCAAGATTTAATATGTTTATATGATAAATAAAAAATTTCAACTTTAAGAATTGTGATTGATAAATATCATAGCTAAAAATCAAAATATGTTGTTAATTTTATTTAGTGATGAATTATCATAAACACATGCATGCTACAAGTTTCGAGTTCTGAATAAATTGTCTATGATAGAAAATCTTTATCCCCAAAATGAAATTCCCCGATGCAATTCAAATTACTTGGGACATCATTATAAATCCCACAAAGCTAGGTGAGAAACTCAAAAAATATGTGAATATCATCCTTACTATTATATATTAATTATCGAATCAATAATAGTAGTAATTATTGAGATTCGGCTCCTCTCCATTTTCCCCAAGTTCTAGCTTGGATTGGAGACACATGTCATAGTTTAGAATTAATGGTTGAGATCTAATTGATTAAAACAAAATCCTAACCATAGTTATTTACTTCCATATATTTGCTTCTTAAATATTTTTGCAATCCAATAATTTTAGATTTACATTATATTTTTCCTAAATGTATTTAAAATAATTTCTTTTCTTAATTACTTAAGTAATTTTTTGCTGATTTTTTACTTTTTTACCTAACGTTTGCTATTTCACAAATAATATTTGCCAAATAAAAAATTGTGACCTAACATTTTTTTTTATTATAATTGTAGAAGTAAAATAAATCTTGTCAAACAACTTTAAATTCTTTCTTACTCCCTAAATGGAGTCCATATTGCTCTATAGACACTGTAGCTCCTAAAACTCTATTAGAATAATAAAAATATTTAACTGTATTATAATTTTTTTCAAAAAAGTACTAAAAGTATTTAATAAGTTTAATATATTTAGGGAAAATATAATGGATTGCAAAAACATTTAAATATATGGAAGTAAATAACTATGGTTAGAACTTTGTTTTAATCAATTAGATCTCAATCATTAATTCTAAACTATGACATGTGTCTCCACTCTAAGCTAGAACTTGAGAAAAATGGAGAGAAGAGAAATAGAGAGGAGCCGGATACTAATTATTGACTTGTTGTAGGTACTATTATTGGCAAGAATTTTTTCTTTTCTCATCTCCAAAACCAAAAGCTTAAGCTTAGGAGAAAACGGGAAGTTATTTTGCTCTCTAATCCACTTAAGTAAATCAATTAATTATGAGATGCAATTAATTAAGCTTCAGAATAGATCTACAATACTTAATCACTATTTGATTAGTAATCACCAGAAATTAATTTAGCAGAACAAAATGACTTTAATTTTCTCTTTTTCGAATGAGATTTTATCTTTTCATTATATATATAAATAAAATCTACCAAAAATGCATGTGGAGTTTGACTCCACTTTAGTATCTTTCTAAAATCATGTACTCAAACAAAGCAACATGTATTCACTAAAAAGAATAATTAAGATTGGATTATATCTCTTATTATTATTTTCTAGTATTTAGTACTTTACTTTATATGCAAAATAAAGTAAATTAAGATAAATGTGCATCTTAATTAAAAACGTGAATAAGTTTTAGCCAGCCACGAGTAATGACAGCACTTATATTCATGCGAAAAGAATATTAGTACTAAATATTGCTAAAGATATAATATAATAAAATAAATAGAAGTGTAACTTTTGATTACTAAAACTTTTTATTTATTGACATTTTATACAACTGAACATGTAGAAGCAGGAGCAAGCAGAGGTTTGAGTACAAGTTTGCTCAAGAATTATCAGTTTATTATTATATTTTAATATTTTAATTTCAATATTTGAAACTCTTTAACTATTTTATTTTATTTTTGAATAATTATAGAGACCTTTCTATAAGTTAGTTTCATAACATTTGGTGATTTTCAATACTATGCTCACCTTCTTTGTAATATTTATTTAACTTAATTAATATTAATTCAAAATAATTACAATATGATCAATTTGTTCTTTCTAATGTTATACTTCCAAAACTAAAATAAATATTTTGGGTTTAACCCGCAAGTAATCATTTAAATCCAACAGTTATAGATTTGATCTTTTAAATTACTGTTTTTTTTTTATCATCTTTATATGATTTTCAATACAAATCAATATCTCTTTTGTCTGCTACTGCAATAACCGAACAATGGTTTTATTCTCTCTTTGCCTATTAGGGAAATACCCCTCCGTCCCATAGTAATTGTTTATTTTTTCCTTTACACATCACTTAAAAAATCATAAATAAGAAGAAAATTTTGCTAATAAAATTTTAAAAACTTGTTTATACTTTCAAAAAAGAGAATCAATTGTAAGGGTAAGATGAAAATTTTTAAAATTAATTTTATCTTAATTTTGTAATTTAGTAAATAATTTAAGACAATTATTTACAGTGAGATGGACAACTAAAACGCAATCGTCACCTAAATTTGTTTGGATGGAGTTATGATAAGCTCTCAATGATTTCATTTTTTAATTATTCCTTTTATGGTTTAATTTCTAAAAATCAAATTTAACGGTTGTTTGTAGAAGAGTGGAAATTAATTGCTACACACCAGAGTTTCCCATGGATTTGGAAGAACCTAGCTACTAAAAAAGAATTTTAAACTTTTGAATATTAAGATTACACCAAACAAACGTACCAATTTAAAATGTTTAATATACGGAATTAAGGACAATTCGGTCAAATTACAACTCATTTATATTAATGATAAATAATTTGAAATAACTACTTTTAAAAAATCAAAATAAAGGAAATAAACATAATAACACAAATCACAAAACATGTTGGTGTTATAAATACTTCTTCATCCGTCTCAAAAATATAATGCTTCACCCCTATAACTATGAATATTGACTTATGCTTCACCAATTTATTTTGAAACAATTTAAGTCGCACGTAAAATAAGAGGAGGAGACGTTAACGGAACCTTGAATTTCCATGAGTAATTAACATTAATAATAAACTATTTCTAAAATAATAATATTAATATTTTATTTCTACATCATGGCAATCCCTATTGTAGATTTAATTCTATGTGACGTTGTTGTACGATTTTAATTAAAATGATTAAGCATGGATATTGCGTTAAACTAACGGAATGCCTAACTTAGTGAAAATGGACCAATTAAGAGAATGCGTGATGGAAAAAAAATTAGCCCTCTTTTGCCACACTCCAAACCTCAAATGTTATTGGACGCATACAAAAATATGTGCACTATTTGAATTTATGTTATGTTTTTATAGTATTTTTTTATATATATATTTTCAATTGGAGATTTGTCTAAGATGTTATATATATACCTTTTTTTGAAAAGTTAATTACCAACCTAGAAACTTGTCGTTTTATCATATATATCAAACTAATAAATGTTTGACATGAGTTATATATATAAATTGTTATTCAATTTGTATTTCAAAAAACAAAAAGATAGTAATCAAAATAAATTGAATTGGATAAACGTTGAGCCCTGTTGAATTTACAATGTGTCTTTAAGGATACTATTTTCCTCCATGTATTCGAGATAATAAAGTATATATTTCTAAGATAAAATAATTTGCTCACCAGTCTAGCCATACCACAAACTCTAGTGAACAACGTATGAATCACTCGACAACAACAATAATTCACACAACATTAATTTTTTAAAAAGTGCAAGAAGAAGAATATCAGAGAAACTTTGTATATAAAAAATTAGAAAAAACCACTTTATTTATAGTCAACAAAGACTAGTATGACCATGTGTTTATTGTGGCTTATCGAAAAAATAGCAACCTTTAGAAAAATTTCATAATTTATCAGAAAAATCACAACTCATTCAATATCAAAAGGTGCTATTCAAATTACATCTTTATCTTCGTGTCTTTTAAAAAGAAAAAAAAAACATTTCATTTCGCAGTCACACTTTTAAAAATCCAACAAAAATATTATCTCGATTTAATTAAGTTATGTATTTTTATCTAGATTTAATAGTATTATACTATTTAAATCATGCTAAATTAACACGGTCACCCACTTGAGTAACTTTTTCCTTTTTCATTTTGTCCAGTGAGATATGAAGACGCAGACAGAGATTCCATTCTCTCTCTCTGGTGTTTTCATTTTTATTATAAATAAGAGAAACAGATCGGCATAACGTATACTTTGCTCTTCTTATAATTATTATTAGCTTATAATTACTGTTTAAGAGCCATCCTTAAATATCTTCTTTTTCAGAATTGCATTTGCATGGCCACTAATTTACAGAAGCGTGGACTGGTAAGCTTGGGGAAACGATTTCTGAACCAGATAGCTTATTCAACTTCTCGAAATTCTGCCAACTCATCATCTACTGCCCAGATCTCTGGCAGGTACGCTCTGAACTTTGCGGAGCCAGAATTTTGAATTTATGAATTCTGAATTATTATAAACATCAATTTGCAGTATTTTGGATTAAGTGAATTTCTTAACACAAATATAAAATTTTGACTAAAGTTACTGAGTTCTAGCTGAACCTGTAACTTTCTCTCTAGCTCCGCCCTCGATCAGTTCGAGTTAATTACTTTCAATTTGTTTTTTTTTTTAAATCTAATTAAGTGATGTGCAGGAGGGTGGTGCACACGTCAGTGTATGACAAGAATCCAGAGGAATATGTGTCATCGTGGGTACCTGATGAAATAATCGAGGTAGAATCAGACAAGTACAAGTACTGGACTCCTCATCCCCAAACCGGGGTATTTGGGCCAGCTACTGATCACATTATAAAATACGGTGAATATGGTTCTCAATTCTCCACTGTAGATTCTGTGTTGGAACAAAAGACATTTTTTCGCGATCTTGAGGATCTGGAGAAGCCTAGTTATCCTTAAGTTTCACAACAGAAAATACTACTAGTAGGGAAGGTGAAAGAGGTGTTTCGTTTGTTGTGTTCTATGAATATGTGATATGTTTAGTTAATTAATGGAAGTACAATATGGAGTATGTATAGAATAAAACTAGCCACTCTACGTGGGCTGCTTTTAAATGATCATATGGTGCAATACATACGATCAAATTTCTCTGTAACATCGTCGCTTGTCCCAAAAAAAAGTTTGATTGCTATACCAAAATATTGTTATAGAGAATATGTAATAGAACATAAGATGAAAAGTTGGTTCCAAAAACAACTCGACTATTATAATGAAATATTGTTATAAAGAATGACAATTTGAATTTTAAATTAGAGAGATGAGCATCTAATATGTGAAGCCATGTTGCCTGATGTAATATCATTTTCCTGACAAAAGAGAGAAAATAAAATCCTCTGGGAACATCAAACAAATTGGAGTGACATAGAATAGATTAACATGGTTACTATAAATTAGCAAGAGAGGAAAAGATGAAGGGGGAGCGCTTTCTTGTTCATACAGCAATTTCATTGCTGTGTAGGAATATAATTGCAAATGCAGTCAATATTGTGTCTTAAAAATATTTTTCATTCACCAACCAAACAACATAACACATAGGAAATAAATGACTTCCTTCGTACGAAACACAAACATGAAACAGAAATAACAATCGTAACATTTTCTAATCAACAAGTGCATTTTTAGCAGATTGGTTCAGTTGGAATTCTTGTATTTCCTTGATTAAAAGAATGACATTGAGGTGAGAAGATTCACCATCTTCTACAGCTCTTTTTGCCATTTCTCCAAGCTCCCTAGCTCTTTTTCTAATCTTGTTTCCTTCTTTCTCCTTGTCCATCACCTTTTTAATGGCATCCGTCACTGCTTTGTTGCTCACTTGGGATCCAAACTTCTCTTCTTCCCCCAAATGCACAATTGCCTGAGATCCAACACCCACAGCTATATTCAATACATGTTCTAATAACTTCTCATTAAGAAACTGCTCGGCGAATAAAGGCCATGTGATCAAAGGTACACCAGCACTAATCCCTTCAACAGTTGAATTCCAACCACAATGAGTCAAGAACCCACCAACTGCAGGGTGTAATAGAATTACTACTTGTGGTGACCATCCGCGTATCAAAAGCCCTCTTTCTTTTGTTCTTTCCTCAAATCCATTTTTCGATATCCACTCCTCTATTGGTGCTTGTCCTTCCCCTGTTTTTATGACTAAAATGAATGGATAACCTGATGCTTCCAGGCCTAAAGCAAGCTCCACAAATTGTACTACTGTAATACGACCAAGGCTCCCAAAACATGCATACACAACAGTCTCTGGCTCCCAAGAATCAAGCCATTTCTTCAAAATGTCCTCTTTGTCAAATGATCCCTTATTCCCTCTCTGAACTTTATCAAGATTGTCATTGTTACAAAGAGATTAAGGTCCAATGCACCAAACTCTACCATGTTTAAGTCTTCGGAATTTGTCTACATACCTTTGTTCCAACTCCTCGAAAGTATTGATCACAACCCCATATGCTCTTTTTTCAGCTGCTCTTATTTTGTCACGAATATCTTGTATGAAAACTGCTCCTGCTGGATTGAAATGGGCAGGCAGCTGAGCTTTAGTGACTTCAATTCTATCTGGCAAATCAGGTATGACAAAAGTCCCTGATTCAGAAATTTTGTTTCGATCCTTCAAGATGTACATATTATGCTTACACATTTGGTTGAAGCAACTCATTCCATCAAAAACAATTCTTGGAATCTGAAACTTATCAGCTGTCCAAGCAACATACGCATCAGAAATAATGCAACTCGGTTTAGGCTTCATATCTTCAAGTAATTTCTCAGTCTGTTCTTGGAGCATATCAATTGCAGCAAAGAACTGTCTTCGATAGTTCAGACCAGGCACATCATTATGGTTTTCACACCCCTCTGGAAGTCCTGCTTCCTTACCTTTAAACTGGAGCTCCACTACCCGAATGACGAGTCCAGAACGAATGGCACGATCAATTGCTGCAGTGAATCTGGCGGCATTTAGAGCTGTCGTGACTAACGTGACTGTCACTCCTTGCTGCGCTAACAATTTGGCCATGTCCGCCAGCGGTATAAGGTGACTTGTAGAAAGTAAAGGAATCACAACGAAGTTTAGCTCTGCCAATGCTGGCACCGTTGTCATCTTTACTCAGTAAGAACTGAAAAAGCTATAGTTTGTTGAGTAGTTTTGCTCCTTCACGTTTTTTCAGAAAATGAGCACTTTTGATTTCCATCAAACTCCAGCAGTTATATTTAAGTGCAAATTCTACACGTCAGAAAACTCTTCACCACATATTTGTGAAGAGTTAATTAAGGTTATTATGTCATTTAGACGCTCATGACATGATAAAAAATTGGTTATTATTTCATATTGTCATTTATATGATGATAAAGTTAGGTAAGAAAGGAGCAAAATGAAAAATAAGAAAAAGACGGGGACCAATAACAGTCAGAATTTTGTGTCACATGTGTAGAGGTGAGAAAAATCCAATAATTGCCACCATGCCAGGCAGTACATTTCATTTTAGAAGGGGACTTGCTATATCAAAGCGTGTCCTTTCCTTTTTATGTGTATTTACTATGACAGCTAATCAATTTTGTCTACATTATGCATCAGATCAATTATTGAGTCATGGTAATGAAGGAAAAAAATAAATTAGAAAAAAAATAGTTTCTCCCTCATCTGTAATGAAGAGGAGAATTTTTTGTGCTTATATTCATTGCTATGCCATTTGAGTTCGTTGGAGTTCTGTGATTTGTATGGCCGCGGTTATAATTCCTTAAGACCACACAAATAACTTGTGGGCTCAAACTAATTGTTAAACTGTTGATTTTAAAGGTGTGAACAAGAAATGAAGGGTTGTGACTCTCCTGAAGAGTTGTGGCTATGCCGAAGGGTTGTGACATTTATTAAAGGTTGTGTCCTTTCTAAAGGGTTGTGATCGTTTGAAAGGTTGTGTCTTTTCCAAAGTGTTGTGACCTTTCTGAAAGGTTGTCTTCTTTCTAAAGGGTTGTGACCTTTACCCTTTGTTGGCTATAAATAGAGAGGTTTTCTCTCATTTTTCAACATCGAATTCTTCCCTTCTTTTGCATACATTTCTTACAAAACAAATCGATTGATCGTGTCTGTGTGTGTAATTCGTTGTTGTCATTTTGAGTTCGTTGAAATTATCGAATTTTGAGGTACCGCTACTTCTTTAAATGGTTAATCTGTTTATCTTGGGAGGAATTAATCTGCAACCTCGGGTATTTGATGGGATTAAATTTCTTAAGGACACACAGTGGGTTTTGTTGGACTCGGATAGTTCTTTATGTTTTTCTTTTCATCTTTTATTATTTCTTATTTGTTAATCTGAATACAAGAGTTAATAAGCTTAAGAAATTTAATGTTGGTATTTTCTGTGGTAAGGAAATTACTTATATTTTCTGTGTTCTTTTTATTGGGGAAAGAAAAAGAAGCAAAAGAGAATTATTTTACCATATGATAAAAATATGTGGAAAATAATTTCAAATACTTGAAAAATATTTTTGAGAACATATTTAAAATGTGGGGGTTCTTTACTTGTGATAAAGACAAAATTAGACTAACTATCTAATTTAAATTTGAAAGAACAAGATATGAAATTTAATGACATTCTTGTATTACATTAGACCCACAAAATTCTTGGAGTATATTTGATATTGTGGACGTTGAGTTTCTCTTTACTAGTATATGATATGACTAGTATAAAACCATAAAATTATATTACTCGTTCAAAAGAATTGTATTCTTTGATGAAAAGTTTCACTTAAAATATTGTGATTATTCATGAAAAGATATGTCTATTAAAATAAATAAAAAATTGTATAGACATGAACATTGGTGAAAAGTGATCTGTTATGTTTGTGTTGTAAAACAAACGTTTTGGGTCATATTGCACTTATTGGACCGATGAGACTATGATCATGGGTAATTCTATAACAAATTGAATATTATGGAAATGTCCTTCTGAAAAGGACATATAACAAGGTGTTGACTCTAAAACAATGTCTGTATTTGAGAAAGTTATAAAAAGTAAAGAACAAAATATTTGTGGGAAAAGGTTACCTCACAGAAGGTCTTTTCAAACTTAGTATTTCTGTTTGTTCTTACTTGCTTGAAACAAATTGTTTGTGACATAAATGTTTGAGACATGTCAATTGCAAAACCTTGCAAAAACTAATCAACTTAGAAGTTTTGCCTAACTTCTAGTGCAATAAATCAAAATGTCAAGTATGTGTTGTTGAAAGGAAGTTTAATACCTTAGAATTGATTTACACTGAAATTTGTGATATGAAGTCAACACCATCTCGTGGTGGGAAAAAGTGTTTCATAAATTTTATTGACAATTGTACTAGATATTGTTATGTTTATTTGTTGAATGGTAAGGATGAAGAAATAGAAACATATTGGCAATATAAAACTAAAGTTGAAAATCAGTTGGATAAAAAGATTATCATGATTAGAAGTGGTAGATATGGAGAAAATGAATCTTTTTTTGCAGAAATATATTTGGAAAATGGAATCATCCATCAAATTACTAACACATTCTCACCTCAATCTAATGAAATTGTTGACAGGAAAAAACCAAACTTTTGAAGGAAATGTTGAAATATCCTATTTATAAGTTCAGGTTTTACCACAAAATTTGTGGGGGGGGGGGGTGCGTATCATTAGAGCAAACGAGAACAACAAAAAAATTGTTTGTTCAGAAAGAGAGAAACAAAAAGTTTTGTTTGTTAGTAAAGAGAGTAACAAAAAAAATTGTTTTTAAGAAAGGGAGCAACAGAAAGTTGTGTTTGTTCAGGCTTTGTTGTATCCTGATAGAGAATTGTTTGTCGTCCCTTAAAGTTTATACAAGCAATAACTATTGAAAGAGAGTGATCAAACAATTTTCAATACCGTCTATTTCATATGAGAAATGGAAATGAGGGAACTATTTCCAAACGGGTTAAAATAGGACCTAAGACATTGGATTGTATGTTCATTGGATACGTTACAAATAGTAAAGCATGTCGATTTATGGTTCATAAGTCCGAACCGTAGGATAGTCAAGTGAAGGGTCGAAACGACTTTGGAAAGAACCAAATGAAAATGTAATTAATAAAGAGATTTAGAGGCGTAGTAAATGTCAATGGACAAATTATTTCCTACGAGTTTGATTTTGTAGCATTTCTTCTTGAAAATGAGTTTCATATATTCTAAAAGTTATGTCATTTGTGGACTCATTCTCTTTGAGAAAAGGCTGTCAATAGTAAGATAGATTCAATCTTGAGCAACCATACTTGAGAGTTGGTTGATCTTCCTCTAGGAAATAAATTTTTTGGTTCAAAGTGGATCAACAAAAGGAAAAGAAAGTTGATGAAACTATTGACAAATACAAAGACAGACTTGTTGTCATAGGCTTTAGACAATAAGAAAGCCTTGTTTGACAGAACTAACTAGGATTACATCAATTTAGATGTTAATTGCGCTAGTCGCGAAATATGACCTTCAAATTTGTCAAAATGGATGTGAAAATATTTTTTTTAAATGGAAAATTGGAGGAAGAAATTTACATGGAACAACCCAAGGGCTTTGTGGTTCTGGTAAAGAAAAGTAAGTATGTAAACTTGTTAAGTCACTCTGTGGACTAAAAACAAGCGCTCAAATAATGATAGGCGAAGTTTGACCAAACTATGTTGGCAAATGAATTCAAGATTAATGAATGTGATAAATATTTTTACATTAAAGACACTTCAAATCACAAGGTCATTGTTTGTTTTTATGTTGATGACATGTTGACCATCAAAAGAGACATTTCTGACATAAATGCTACTAAGCATATGCTAGAAAGAAACTTCGATATGAAAGACATTGAAATTACTGATGTGATTGAAAATATTCATGCATTTGGATTTCAATAGTGTCAAGACTCCAATAAATGTGAGATTTGTACTTCAAAAGAATGAAGGCAAAAGTGACTCACAATTGGATTGTGCTAGAGTAATGAGAAGTATGATATATATATCATGAAGTGTACGCGATCAGATATAGCATATGCTATTAATAAACTAAGTCGGTTCACGAGTAATCTCAATCAAACTCATTGGATGACAATGAAAAGAGTTTTGGAGTATTTAAAACATACTTAAAAAACTATTGCTTTGCATTATAACTAATATTCAACAGTATTGGAAGAATATAATATAGTGATGCAAATTGAATCACCGGGTCAAATGAAGTAAAATCCACGAGTGGATATGTATTTACTCTTCGTGGTGTTGTGCCGTAATTTTACTGTATTAAGAAAAATCACCTTTTGAAATGTTCTAAGTATAAAACGATTTGAGGAAAATACTTAGAATAGAGTCGCCACTTAATTTTTTAAAGAAATTAAGAAAACTTATAATTTTCAAAGATTTAAACAGAAAAAATCATTTGAAAATATCAAAGGAGGGTTCGGGGTTCAATTTACACTTCGAGAAGGGTTTAAGCATTCGAAGTGCCCGCTAACACGCGATTGACCTGCGACTTGACTAAAATATATTTGACTACTTTTAGAAAAATAACGATTCAATATAAAAACTAATAACTTATAATATTTGATTAACTTTGAGAAAATAATTAAATAAATGACGCATTATTTCATTTTATTTTTTAGAGGAAGGGATCCAAAAAAAGAAACATTTGAATTAGATTGCAAGTGATTAGAATATTAAATAAACTAGACTAATTAGAATTTATTTAATTCATTTTAAAATAATAATTTAAGCCAATTTAATAATTAAAGCGTGAAAATCATTTTAAATTAATTGAAAAATAAACGTTTTGACTAACATTTTTGAGAAATGACTAAGTAAGTATATATAATAATAATTTACACTGCTAGATTAACTTTGAGAAAGTAGTTAAACAAAGAGCAATTTTTATTTTTTAAGAAAATGGGACCTTAATTGAAATATTTGAATTAGAGACAAGTAATTAGAATTTTAACGAAACTAAATTAGTTGGTTTTTATTTGAGTCATTTTTTGGTTTATGAAAAACTATTTTAAACTAATAAAAATAAAAATAAATAAAAAAAAGTTTTGACTAAAGATTATAAATAAAAATACAAGAGTTGATCAAGTGAGATTTGTTAGAAACAAAACAACACAAAGAAATAGTTCGTCTTTTAGGGATCTCAACTAAGTTAATTAAAGTTAGAGTTAAATAAGATTAGTTAACACATAATCAAATAATTAGAAGAGTAAACGAGATAATGAAATTGGGCCCCTTCTTGGGCCAATTTCGCTATATTTTTAAGCTTCAATCTCATTCCCGTTTTGCGTATACACTGGATGTATATCAGTGTATATGAGCATATATATTAGCTCTTTTCATGTATTTCTCACTTCCGAACACCTGTGTTTCGCCTTCTCCCTGTGTTTTCGCATTTTTGACCTGTAATTCGCTGTATAATGAGTGTATACTGCTGTAGACAGCTCGTTTCTCAGCCTTTTTTCAGCTTTCTGAAACTTGTTTTCAATTTCCAGCCCTGTACAGCCCTATTCAGATGACCCGGTTAACTTAAAGAAAAGAAAAATCGGGCCCCTATGGCCCAATCATTGAATGCAACGAGAGGGTGGAAGCCCATGAGGGCTCGGACATATTTCACATGCAATAAAAAGGATGATAAGAAATTAGAATTGTCATAAACAATAATTAAATGTGCAATCAATGGGATGTAAGAAGGTAAATATCTAAGATACAAGACAAAACATGATATCATTTGACTAAACAAGCAAACTAATTTAAAGAAATTTACTACATTTATCGAAAACGAGTATTCGCACAACACATCCTTTAATAAAACTAAGTCACATGGTGGTGCCCAATCAAAGCCACATGCCAAGCTTCATCAACTCATTTTGAATCTATTGCTATGCCAAAATTCATGCTTAATCTAATTAATGTAAAATAGACTAACCAACATGGATAGACCAATTTTAAGAATTGAACCTACAACACTATCTTAATAAGGAGCAAGGCCTAAAGAAAGGTAGCAACAAGGTTTAACAGAATGAATAAGAGCATTAATATTGTTGACAAAATAGTCCTCCTCAAATGTCCACTATATACTAATGCAATATTTTTCAAATGATCAGAGAGAAAATAAAATAAAATAAAACAAAATCAATAAAGCATCACAATGAACTTGAACATCAACTGATAGAGATTACATATTCAACATACATCTAAAGATAAAGAACTATACTAATCCTAAATTTATTAAAGTAAAATTAGGCCATATAGAAAGCTTCTTAACTAGATGAATATATAATATAATATTAACTAAATGATGTACATAAAAGTCAACAGTGAACTAAATGGATTGATTGCTAGACAAAATTGCACAAAGGCATGAAAGCTATGGTGGAAAACTATCATTTTGAACACATCTAGATATAACTCCTACTATTAAACTTTAAGAACTTAACATCTATAAGGAACATTTCTAAGTTAATGGGCAAAATAAATAAAAATAATCCAACTCACCTCAAAACTAAACCAACTACACGTTTTAAAAGCTCATGGCATTAGGTGGCATTCCAAAACAGGGAACAAAAGTATATGACAACTACCTTAAAGGACACATGAGAGGGTATAGAACACATTAAGGGAAGCAACAACGACTAATCTAATTTGAACTTGAGAGCCTATTTATTTATTGATTATTAGCAACATATCAAGACTACATTGAACGTTAATAAACAAACCAACAAATTTGGGGCACTCACTAAACATGATCAATGCTACAGAATTGAAGTTGGATAACTTTAAAGGCTAGTAATCATCTACTCTTGCACAATAATAAAACTAGCAAAATCTGGAAGTACACTACTTAACAGAGAAAAACAAGGTGGTAAAATCTTACACTTCAACTATTGAGCCCTTTTAACCACATCAAACAGATAGTCAAGATTTATCATGAAAGTAGACTTTTAACATGATTGAATTGAATGTAGATGCTTGCTACACGGTTAGGAAACAAAGTTTTCACGAAAAGGATTAGAGACTTTAGCATCGAGGCTGTGGATCGTGGAAACAAGCAGGTTATAATAATACTACGCCTTGAAGCCAAAAAAGAACAAAACAATAGCAAGACATGGACAACATTCTAGTATGTAAAAGCAGCAATTGGATTTAAATAGCATGAGATTGAGCAAATATTGATAAGAGTTTATTATAATGAATAAAAAGCGACAAAGGGGACAACCAAGGCTACGATTAAGCAGTGAAGAAATAGAACTTATACATTTAGCACACTCAAAGTTGAAACCAATCGAACAGTGGATCATCTCGAGCAAACTAAACAAGTTCAGCTGGCTTTATAGATACAAAATCGAGCCAACAAGTCTAAGGACTAACATACAACACTAAAGTGACTTCATCGATGCTTGAATCATGTTTACTGCTCAAAAAACTCACAGGAAAATGGTACTAAAGAAAAGACTTAAAAGCGTAGGAACCGAACGTTCTTAATAACACACTCCATACCAAGTATCGAACACATAGCACACCATATCGAAAACAGAACATAAGAGGAGGCGAAGTTACCTTTTTTGGAGCAGCGAGCTGGGACGAACGAGCTTAGAAGAGAGCGACTTCTCACACGACTTTAATCTGGGGCAGTAAACCAAGAAATTCAAACCAACTTCGAACAAAAGACCTTCTCGAAACTTTAGACGTCTGAAATTTCCCAAGTGTAAAATTTATCGTTCAAAGAATTCTTTTTTTTTTGCCCCCCCAAACAGTGATCAAAAGAGATGATTATATAACTGGAAAATCGGGGGAAATCGGGTGAATTTTTCAATTTTAAATTCGGACTTCTCTGCCTCTTTTCAAGATAACAGTGGAAAGGATTCGAAAATCCCTGAAAAGGGGGAAAGCAGGGTGACGAAGTGACCATCTAGACCACTAGGTTATGGGTTTTGCAGGGTAGTTGGACGAGCATACTGTTGTGCGCGTTTTCTGGGTTTGTAGCGTTCTTCGCTGTTGTCGCGTGAAGAAGACGAGAAGTGTGGTCGTTTGCTGCGTTGTATTGCTCTATGTATTGTTGGGTCTTTGTGTTGTTGGGCTGAGGTGGTGGGCTGTAATGTTGTTGTTGTATGGTATTGCTGTGTATTGTTGGGCTGGGAAAATGGGATTGGAAATGGCCCAAAATTGGCCTATTGAATTGGGTAAGCAATTCACTAAAATTGTTATTAAATAATAGTCAAATGGATTTCAATTATTGCCGAATAGAATTTAATTGGTGAATTTGGCTGAAATTTAAACAAGACGAGTTAATACAAATTAATTAATGAACTTCTTAATCTCAACGAAAATAAAAATAATTAACTTAATTATAAACTAACTAATTCAATTACAAAACTAATTAACTCGAAATTATAACTATACTTAAAGTAAATTAATAAAATATTTAACTAAGATATAAAATCTTTTGTGATGATTTTTCAAATATTTATAAAATAAAGTGATTGCAAAAATATACATATTTATTATTAAAAATGATAAAATTACTTTAAAATAACTCGAAGGTATTTTGAATTTCATAAAACTCATTAATTCAAAATTATAACCATCCCTAATATTTAAAATATAAAAATCTTTTTTTGAGACGAATTTCGAATAATCATAAAATATACTAATTAGATACATAATTCTGTAAAACACATATATCATTTAAAAATTATGAAAAGTGACAAAACTATTCAAAAATCTTGCAAACTATATTATTATTTTTTGGAAATTTTATAAAACTAATTTTTTTTTTTTAAAAAAAAAAATCATTTGAAATTGAAGAAGCTCAAAATGATTAATTTATATTGTGGAAGGTCAAAATTCGGTGTCAACAGGTGGAGGAGCAGTCTCTTGGAAATCTTCCAAATAGAGATGTATCGCTCGCTCTACTATGAAATCTGAGTTTATCACTCTAGATAAGGCCGGTAAAGAAGTTGAATGACTCCAAAATTTTCTTGAAAGATTTTTGGCCCAAACCTTTTAGATCCAATATGCATACAATGTGAGAGTTAATTTGCAATAGGTAAAGCATGGAGCATGATGTATAACGGAAAGTCTCGTCATATATGACGTAGACATAATATCGTTAGAAAACTACTCTCTAGTGGAATTATCATAATTGACTATGTAAAGTCAAAGGATAATGTGTTAGATCAACTTATAAAAGGCCTAACTAGAGAGGGAGTTGATAGATTATCAAAGGGAATGGGACTATGGCCGAGAACAAGTCATTGTGGTAGTAACTCTACCTAGAAGACTAGAGATCCCAAGATCTAGGTTCAAGGAGATCAAACAAAGTCATTGATGACGGTTCAACATTGTCAAAATATTTTTTATGGTCCATTCTCATGATAAGACAATGTTCAGTAGCAAGGATAAATGCATTAGGACTTTTTAATGATTTCTAAGTTTGATACAGGGTATATCAAATGGTGTATCTACTAGATAACACATTTAGAAATCACCTATGTAAGTGTGAAGTGTAAGCCGCTTTAAAAGAGAATCTGGTAAGGCCAGTTCTCTACGCACTTATAAACCAAGACGTGTTCATGGCTGAAACGAACAAAACAATGAGAACCAAAAATAGTTCAAGGGTTGATTGCGTGACTTATGTTGTCTAGGTATACACCAAAGCTCTACGATTCAAAGATATCAAATCTACCGATTGACCGAGTATATCTGATATATGTTCACTATGGAAAGTTCAAAGGGAAACCCACTTATCCAGAGGCAATCAATCCTTAATTACGAATCACACAGTTTTTCATGCATATGTTTTAACAATTGTCGTTCCCTATTCATGTGAGGGATTACTGGATTTTAAAGGTGTGAACAGGAAATAAAGGATTGTGACTCTCCTGAAGAGTTGTGACTATGCCGAAGGGTTGTGACCTTTATAAAAGGTTGTGTCCTTTCTTAAGGATTGCGATCGTTTGAAAGGTTGTGCCTTTTCCAAAGTGTTATGACCTTTCTGAAAGGTTGTCTCTTTCCAAAGGGTTGTGACCTTTACCCTTTGTTGGCTATAAATAGAGAGGTTTTCTCTCATTTTTCTGAATCGAATTCTTCCCTTCTTTTGCATACATTTCTTACAAAACAAAATCGATCGATCGTGTCTGTGTGTGATTCGTTGTTGTCATTTTGAGTTCGTTGAAATTATCGAAGTTTGAGGCACCACTACTTCTTTAATGGTTAATCCGTTTTATCTTGAGAGGAATTAATCTGCAACCTCGGGTACTTGAGGGGATTAAATTTCTTAAGGACATACAATGGGTTATGTGGACTCAGATAGTTCTTTGTGTTTTTCTTTTCATCTTTTATTATTTCTGATTTGCTAATCTGAATAC